CCATATATTATCTAATATTTAGTTTATTTTAAATTTAAATATAAATTTAAGATTTCCCCCATAATAAAAAAAATATAACGTTATCTCAAAAAATAAAGCCTCAAATATTTAGTTAAATTTATATAAATTAATGCTAGAAAAAACTATCCAATTAAGTTTTAAGATCCAATTCAATACTGTGAATCAGATAACATTCTTCATATGGAAAATTGGAAAAAGTAATATGTGTGTGTGTGTGCTACCTTGGGGGGAAAAAAAAAAGATGCTAATAGTCTTATGGGTACCCAACCCTGATGATCCATATGCTTCCGCAGATAAGTATCCTTAATTAAATTATTAAAACTGCTAAAGATCACAAAGTATGTTAGATGATAGTTAGAATAGTTAAAACAACAAAAATAATCGAAAAATAAAAAACTAACATTGGGTAAATGCATTAATTAAAGGCATGCATAACTGAAATAGTAATCAACTTGGTTTACAATCTCAGCATGTAAGTTAGGATTGGAAGCTACAACGTCGTTCATTGGATAATGCGACGACGTTGATGGAACATAAGCAATGCGAATAAATGGTTCAGGATGAGGTAATGGAGGGACACTGTATGGAAAAGGAGGACCCAATTCTGTAAATAAATAACATATAGTCAGCAATTATCATGCAAAATTATAATTTTGATAACAAGAAAACTAAAAATGTATAATTTGATTTTAACTAGCTTCTATATTTAAGACTAGAAAGAATATTTACAATTCCATCAATATAAAACACTCTAGGACACTCAAATATTGCTAGAAAGAGACTGCATACTTGTAGGAACCCGTAAGGGCCTTTATAATATGGTGGCATCGGAGGCAGCACTGATGATTGAGTAGAATACTAAGAGTAAGAATAAGATGTCAGTAGGGGTGAACAAAGTCAAATCAAAATCAAAAATCAAACCGAATCGAATCGAATTTTGTCTATTTGATTCAGTTTATTTGATTTTTCGATTCGATTTGGCTTTTTTATTTTAAATATTTCAGTTGATCGGTTTGGTTTGATTCGATTAGTAAAATTTAAAATCGAATAGACCGAACCAACTGAATTACATATAATTTATTAATTTATAAATTATATTTAATTTATAAATTATTTTATTTTATTTTTTATTTTAATAAAGAATAAAAAATAATAACATCACTTAAAATCCTATTTCGGTCAATCACTCTTAACCCTATTTTTTATAAATTGTTTATTTGATTATTCATGCATTTATAATATTTGAGCTTTATGTCATATGCGTGAAATTAAAATGAGCTCATATTGAAAAAAACGGATAAAAAAGGCCCAATTTTATAGTATTGTTTGTTTTAATATTTAAAAAAAGAGGCTCAATTTCAATAGCTTAATATAAAACCAAAAAAACTGAATTAACTGACTAAATCGAATTATCACATTTCGGTTCGGTCTTTGTTCGGTTTGATTCAATTCGGTTTTCATTGTCAGTGTTATTTGGCTGATCAATTTTGTATATTTTGAAATCGAACTGAATCAATAGATACTCACCCCTAAATATTAGTAATGGTAGCCACGATGGCAATGGTAGTAAAGGTGGTGGAGGTGACCCTCCAAATATTACAGGGCCTCTATTTGGCATATGCATACCTCTTCCATGAAAACTCCTATGAGTGTTCCTACTTTGATTGATCCCATTACGCTGTTGATCCCATTATGCTGTGAAAGAATGTTATTAGCAAACCTTTGGGTATTATTGTGACTTTGAGGTCCCTATATATAATTGGGAATTAAAGTATTAAAATATTTTTAAATTTATTCTAATATTATGAGTTAGGGGTCTTAACTATATTCTTATCTAGTGTCCTTTGTAATGTCTCAAATTTCCCAATTTCATTTTTTTTTTGAATCATTGTCTTTTATATACAATAATAGATATTATAATATTATACATAAAAAATTGGAACATTACAAAAGACATTAGAAAAAAATATATTAAAAATCGGTAGCTCCTAGAATTATACATGATAAAGATACAAGAAATGAAAATAAAACAAACCTGAATTAGAAGCAAAGACGATGATGATCCATTGGCCAAATTATTGGATAACTCTGATGACAGTTTCAGACTCTCCTTCATGAGGTTCTTAGAATCATTCATCGATAGAGAAGGAGCAACAGTTGACGAATGTTTAGCTTCAACCACAGTCACCAGTGCCAATGGCAATGGTGTAGCAAGAATCGTACCATAGGTAGGTTTTGACTTAGAAGCATCATCAAGTTGAAGTGAAGATAAAGAATCACGTGAGGGTGATAATGTGTCACTATGATTTTTTGAGGAAGAGTTAGAAAAATAATGATGCTCTATTCGCAAACTAAAACGATTAAAGTTTCAATATTGAAAAATGTAACAAAAGAAAGAAAGAAAGAGAGCAAGAGTAGTAAATCTTAGTTCTCTCGTCACGCTTCTCTTGAGAAGGAGACGGTGTGTGTATATTATACGGAGTGATTTGAGGGACATTTAAAAGTTAAAATTTTAAGATAAACTAACATTTATTCATTTTTTTAAGTTTGAGGATACTGGGTTCTAATTATCTTTGTCTGAATAATTTGAATAATATTATTAATTAATAAATACCATAATAAACAATATTTAAGCTCAATAAAATATCTCTCAACCACACACATATTTGATTTAAGGTTTTAAATTTACACTATTAATTATTTTTAATTTATCCAAGAGTTTTATAAAAATTCCGGTAAAAATATTATTTCATATAAAAGAATTTTTTAATATTACAGAGCTAAGTATAAATTAATAAAATAAAGTTTATTATTTAGAGTAGTTAATTAATTTTGGACGTGTATACCAAATCCTTCCTAGTATTAATTATAACCCCGATAAAACCCATTCTTGTGAGAAGTGGTCCCTGTTCTCTTCATTGATGAACAAGCATCCCATATTTTAAAAAATGTGAATAAAATTTTATTTAAATGAGTAAAAAATATTTTTCTATTACTTATTGTAGTAATATTTTTTTGTTGAATGTAATGTTTTAATTTTTTATTTTTATAATTTAGTTTTTAGTGCAATAGCATTAAGTTTTCTTAATTTTCTTATAAATTATGGTATAAGATTGTTATTCTTTTTATTGGGCCTTCAATATCAAAAGAAAAAATTGGATAGAAAAATATATAAACAATTAGATTTTATAGATCCAAATCAAAGCTCATGAACCAAATAGATTGATCGATTCAAACCATTATAATTCAATTTGGTTATGTATTTCGATTCAATTTAATTCAAATTTTTTATATAATTTAATTGATCAATTTTAAAAAAATTGAAACTGAATCAATCAAATACTCACCCCTACACTGTCCACTGTTGTAATAACTCCAAAATTTTAATAAAACAAATTGATATATTAAATTTTTATTAAGGTATTTTGATTGTATTTTTATTAATCTTCATACTGTAGGCATAACAAAAGCGAATACTGGCATAATGGCCGTTGTGTTGGCAAATCACAGGTTCGAGTCAGGGAGAAGTTCTATTTCTTTCCTTCCAGTCATTGGTGAATTTACCATTTTGCCCCTTTGCATTTAAAATTATATGTATATATGGGGAAGCTTCCTTCCCCATTATCCTGGTTCTAATTAGAGCCGGTAATTTGGGCCAAGTACAACGGGTTAACCCGAATTCGCCCAAAAAATTTAAGCCCGAGCCAAAATAAAATAATAATTTTTTATTGTTTGGACCTATTTGGGCCGCCCGAATAGGCCCGAGAAAAATTGGGCTAAGCCCGATCGGGTTCGGGCTTGGCCCGAATACCCGAATAAAAAAAATTTACATTTTTTAAAATATATATAATATAATAAATATTAATTATTTCTTAAGTTTTATATCATTTTATTTTAAAATACTATATATTTGAGTGTATTACTATAGTTATTTTAAAAAAATAAAAATATTATATTTTCCTATTTTTATAAATTTTAATCAAATGAAATATCTCAAAATAATAATTAAAATATATTTTTATATTAATTTTTATACTTTAAGACTCAATCTTTTTTTAAAAAAAATTTAGTCTTATACACCATTTTCTTGTCTAAAAAATTATATTTTATATTTTTTATAAAATAAGATAATTAATTTTAAATTTAAAATAATTTTAAAAATAAATTTTGAGCATGTACAAATTTTGGCTCTACTACTAAATAAATATAATAAATAAAATAATATTTTTAGATAATTATTTGATTATCATCTACGTCAGACTTAGTTAAAAATTAAGAATGAATTAAAATAAATACCCTTTGTATATATGACTTAAACAATATAAAAGATTAAAAAAAATTAAAAAAATAGTATTTTACCCATATTTAAATGATTTTATTTTATATAATATGATGATGGCTATTTTTTCATATTTTTAAAAATAAAAAGTACAGTTTATCTAATAGTTGTTAAAAACTTTGAACTAATTAGGACAATGATTTTAAATTAGTGATTTAACCGTAGTTGAATTGAAATTAACTTAATCATAATTAAAATAATATGATTCAATTAAAATATATAAATATTTTTATATAACTATTATAAGGGAAATATTTAAATAAATAAGACATCAATTTATAAGTAAAGGAAACATTCATGAATAAATTGTACATAATATAACAAAATAGTAACAGAGCTACTAAAGTACTTAATTACAAAGTTAATAAGTTATTATTTTTTATTTCTTTTAAGTTAAAAAATATTTTATGCTTAATAAAATTATTTAAAAATTAAAATTGATTAAAAAAATATTTTTAAAAAAGTTTCGGGTTTTCGGGCCAGCCCGAATAAGCCCAAAGGTATTAGGGCTGGGTTTAACTATATAAACTTTTTAAAAAAAGTAAGATTCTTTAAACTCATCCGAATAAGCTCGATCCAAATTGAGTTGATCTGAATAAGCCCGATCCACTTGGATTATTACTCTAGTTCCAATCGACCGAGGGAGAGACTGAGTGGGAGGGCATTTCGATCAGCAACCCTTCCCCTGTTGTTCACTCCTCCATCTTCTTCCTTCTCTATATGTGCCATAGCCGACGTTGGAGCGTGCAAAAGCTTCGGCCGTCATCGTTGAGCTTCCTCCTTCCGTATTCGGCCATTGGCGTTCTCTACTCTTTCCGAGCAACAGCAAGTTCCGGTGCGTCGCCATTCTGGTGTGGCTGTGGGAGTACGCGGACACCCTTTTTTCTCTCCTCCTTCTTAACCTCGCATCTTCTTCTATTTCCCCTGCTGCCTCGCTTCTCTTCCGTTCGAGCAGCTGCAGGGGTGTGGCAAAATCTTCTACTCCCCTGCGTTGCGTCGCTGTCGTTCACTGCTATAGGAGCCTCATAGGACACCCAGCTTCTTCCTTCAGTGCTTCATGTCGTCACTATTCTTCTCCCATATATTGCTGTCGCTGATCTAGCTTTAGGGAGGAATCTGAAATTTTCTCCCTTTCGTTGTGCTGATTAAAGGTGAGGACCTTCGAACTCCATGATCTCTTTGTTATTTTGTTGTGTGTGCTGAAATGGGGGCGATTGTGATTCTTTTCCCCTTGCTCTGTTGCTGTGTATGTTTGAATAAGAAAGGAGGGGCTTGAGCAAGCTGAAACTTTTTAGTCAATTGAATAAGATGAAGTAATATGGCTTTGAATTTATATTGATTCTGTTGAAGGAATGAAATTTGAGAAGCTGGGTTAATTCAAATATAGATATTGTAGAGTTGTTAGGATGTGATTTGAAGAGAAGAGCTTAGTATTAAAATTATAATATTAATGCCTATAATAAGTTTGATAAAATGTTTGTTAGGGGAAGTCTTGTTTGTTTATCCACTTTATGAAATTTCAATAACTCATAAACCATTTTTTGTTTGGATACTAATTATTTGTGAGTTTAATTTGAACATTGCGGGAGATTTTGTCAATTATGGAGGTTGTGTGTTATTAGATGAATCCTTGAGAGCTGTGTGATTGGATATAGAAGTGAGCATGTGAAGTATTTAAAGGACTAAAGAGATTTAGGTTTGGTTTTCTTTGAGCTTAAATTGGTTTTTAATGAGAAATTGATTTATTGGGAAGCATGGTAAATTTATGTGTTGGTGCTTGGAAATATTTGAGCAAGAGATGACTTTTCAATCTATTGAGATAACCAAGTGCAATGAAGGTATCATAGATTACATGATAATATGACAGTTAATTATTTCATATACTAAAGCTTGGAAAATCATCAAGGAGTTTGCTTAAAAGCTTATGGTAGGTTTGATGGAAATATAAGAATGTAGATTTTAAATATGGTTGGTGGTTTAGGGACAAATTAAATTTTATCATGTCTTAGGTAAAAAATCGGGTTGCTGAATGATTGATGTAGATCTGTGTGGTATGGTTATTGCTAAAGAAATTTATTTGTTATTCTTGTCTAGGTTATAGAGTAGCTTAAGGATAATTGAGAGGTCTATAAGAAACAAGCTATTATCTTGGGTGCTTATCAGATAAGTATATAACATCCCAATCAATTTATATATTAGAAAATTTTCTTTTATCAAAATATTGTTTTTAACAATTTACAGATATTTAGATATATTTCTCTTGCATTAATTACTTTTGTTAATTAAATTGTTTTAATTCTTGAAGTCATGATTTATAGTTTTTAGATTGACGAAAATGCTTTTACAAATTTTAGTAGTCCTTTATTTGATAAAGCCAATTATGAAAATTGGTGAATAATTTATGAAATATTAGTTATGAATTGTCATATTTGAAAAGAATGATGTTTTTATATGTTTCATGCGAGTTTGATACTGAAAAGAGAAATTATATTTTGAAAGTGATAATTTTCTCGCATGTCTGAAAGTGAATTTAAAAAGGGACTATATACAAAACACTGGTTGCTAGCAGTAGCTTCACCTTTGGCACGTCATGGTCAATGACTAGCTAGTTTGATTTTCGTGAGCTCTATTCTCACATCTAATATCTGTGGGTTTCATGCCTGCATTTGTTTTGTGACTTCAGCCACATGTGATTAGTTCTCTTCATGGATTGTGTGTTCATATCTGTTTCGTGGTTTCGACTATGTCTGGTTACTTACATTCGTGGACTGTTTGTCTACGTTTGTTTTCATGGCATAAGTGGCATTCAGTTATCTCCATGGACTGTGTCCATGTTTGTTAATAATTCTGACAAGTTCCTAGAAATATGATTTTAATTATTTGGTGATTTCATACTCCATTGGTTTAAATTAATAAATAACTACATTTATCTATTTTGTATATTTGTCTTCTTGAGATTAAGTGATAAGGATATTTGATATTATGAATTTAATAATTTTTTAGATTTTATTTAAGGCTATATAGAATCCTTTAAATTCAAATTTTATAAAATCTTTTATATGAATTTGTTGTCTCTTTAATTTATATAATCATTGTTATTTGTTCATTTTATCCTTTTAAATTTTATGGACATTGGGACGTTATTCACTAAAAAGCATTTGTTTGGTCTCAGATAGAATAAATGATGTTGTATCCCCTATTGACCTTTGAAGGGCATATTGTTGGATTGATTAGAAGATCTTCTAAGATTTGATGTAAACATTTAAGTATGTGTTATATTTTAAATTTATGATTAATTGCTCTACGCTAACTATAGATAAGATTATCATCTGTAATTTGTTTGCCTTTCTGTTCTGCATTTCTGATTTGGGCTAGATAAGGCACTTGTTGAGATTACAAGAAGCTTTATTTATAGGGGAGCTTTTGCTAAATTTCTACTAGAAGTTTAGGAAGTTTTTTTTTTTTTTTTCATTCACATGAAAATGTGGCAATGATTTCTAATCGTATTTCAAATAAATCAAGATATTAAATTAGAGATTTCTTAATTAAAGATTAAGGGATATATGTTTTTGCATATATTCTGTGCTGGTCATATCTACTTTTTGGGGTGTGACAACTGTTGTCAGCCTTGTGTGGTTTTTCTTTGGAAGCCAAGGAAGAAGGTTTGAAAATCATGTGAGATTGATTTGTTCAATCTGGTTTTGAATTTAGATTTGAATTTGTTCCCTACGTGGCTGTTCTTGCTTTGTTCTGTGGAGAGGCTGAGAAAGCAGTGGAAATGGGAGCTTGTGGATGGCCTTCTTCTCATTCTTTAGGCATAGTATGCTCTTCATTATCTTTGCCTCCTTCGCCATTTCATCCTGCTCTAGTTTCATGCCCACTACGTCAGCCTCAAATTTTTCTATCCTCATTCAACAAAACCCTTGGCCAGATCCAGAATTCTAGTGCCATATCTTGCCTCTGGGCCAACAGGTATCTATCATACTTCTGTCCTCATATTTTCTACGTTTTTATGAGTTTTGTTTTTGTTTTGTTTTTTTGCAGAATTATGATGAGTATTTTTGGCTGACCTTTAACTTGTATGGCTGTTGATTGATTTATTTGCATTTTTTTGTCTTGTAGTTTGATTTTTGATACTTAGGTAGGTTGCTCATTTTGGCATCCGCTTTTTGCTTTGTAAAGAAGCATATCCCTGCTGGGTTCTTACTATGTTTGTTTCTCTTGTCCTGATGACAATATTTATTTATAGAGTTTGACTTTTATTAGAATGTCAATAAAGAGATAAATTTCAAAACTGTTATCGGCTCATTTTTTGTTTTTCACTGACGTATAGTGCAAAAGTGGCGTTGGATGCTGCACGTGCTGCAAAAGCAGGTGGCATTTTAGTTGTGATTTTTCATATTTCCTTTTCTCTAGTAATTATCAGCAGAAAAAAGGACATTCTTTATTTGATAAAATATTTTATGTCCGTTTGAAATCAATCTTAATAGTTGGATCAGAATAAATGCTTTAGGGCCATCTAGTAAGAAGTTACCCTCCCTTCTGCTGTTTCCCTAGTTATGAATTAAATTGGAGCCTTGAAATAGAATTTTAACTCTAAATGGCCGAAAATTCTAATAAAAATTTGGATGTTCTAACTAGGAAGGACATGGCTCTTCTTCGTTTAGTTTTTGTGGAACAACTTGCTGGGATTATAACTATGTTGGGATCAAGTATATAATGCATGCAACTCTTGTGAATGACAAGCTTTTATCATCTTTAACATTTGAATATGTAGTTGGAGCTTGTCATTTTCCACCCTAGTCGTTTTCTAGGGTGTTTATTGAAGCTTTTTTTTTTCCTTTTTAAATAATTTCCATTATGCACTTTTTACTGAGCCTGAGTAATAACCTTTATTTATGATCTGTGTCTCTGTGACTGCATGTAGGTTCTACAGTAGCAGGTAAAGAAGCATCTTGCAATGACTCTAAGAGTATGCTTTTATTCTTCAAAACTTCTAGTTTCATGTGTCAATGCATCAATGCCTTTTAGGTGTATGTCTCCAGAACCAACCCAAAATCCATAAATACCTAGAAACTGTCATTGCATCCTCTTATTAGTGCTTTCAAAGATTTAGTCCAGATAAGGAATCACCTTTTAGACTTGTTTGGTTGAAAACGGTATCACAATTGTTTTAATGTTTTGTATTTGACTTTTCATCTCGTGTTGCAGATTTGAAATTACTCTGCAACTCCAACAATTCTAGTCTAAAGATCGATGAAGTTAATGACATCAGTTGCACATTTGAAACTCATCAACGGACATCACTTGTTGATCTTTTGAAAGTTTGTAAGGAATGGGGGTTACTCCAAGAGGCTAAGTCTATTCATGGGTATGTCTTAAAGTCGAAATTCTCAGACCAAGATTGCTTAGTGTTGTCAAATCATGTAATGCATGTGTACTCAAATTGCATGGATTATGATGCTGCTCGTAAGGTGTTTGATGGTATGTCTAAGAGAAATGTATTCTCTTGGACAGTCATGATAGTTGCATCAAATGAACATGGTTATTATTTTGATGGAATAGTGCTCTTTTCTATGATGCTGGAACAAGGAGTCTTGCCTGATGGGTTTGCCTTTTCAGCTGTTTCACAGTCATGCACTGGCTTAGGCTTCATTGAGTTGGTTGAGATGGTGCATGCCCATGTTGTTATAAGAGGTTTTCTAACTCATACGGTTGTTAGTACATCGCTTCTCAACTCGTATGCAAAGTTAGGGAAGATTGAGAGTTCATCTAAGGTGTTTCAAACCATGGCAGAACTTAATGTTGTTACTTGGAATGCTATGATTTCAGGATATACCTCTAATGGTATGCATGCAGAAGCCTTTGATTGCTTCACTGACATGGTTGATTCAAGGATTACACCAAATAACTTGACCTTCATTAGTGTTTCCAAGGCTGTTGGGCAGTTAGGCGATGTTACCAAGTGTCATGAAATTCATAGATTTGCATCTAAATGGGGATTGGATTCCACTACTGTAGTTGGAACTGCTCTGATTGATATGTACGCTAAGTGTGGGTCTTTAACTGATGCTCAGTTTCTTTTTGACTCCAAGTTCAGATTTTGTCAAATTAGTACACCTTGGAATGCAATGTTAGCAGGTTATTCACAATCTGGTTCTCACCATGAAGCTTTGGACTTGTTCACAAGAATGCGTCAAAATGATGTCAAATCAGATATTTACACATTCTGTAGTGTGTTCAACTCCATTGTTGCTTTGAAGGATATGAAATTCTTAAGGGAGACTCATGCTGTGGCTTGGAAATCTGGACATGATGTGATGAAAATTAGTACATTGAATGCCCTCACTGATGCATATGCCAAATGTGAGTCGCTTGAAGTTGTAGAGACGCTCTTTGATAGAATGGAAGAGAAAGATATAGTGTCCTGGACTACTTTAGTGACTGCATATTGTCAATTTTCTGAGTGGGAGAAAGCCTTGATCATCTTCTCACAGATGCGCAGAGAAGGCTATGTCCCCAATGATTTCACATTTTCTATTGTGATCACTGCATGTGCTGGTATTTGTTTATTAGAATTTGGTCAGCAAATTCATGGATTGATATGCAAGGCCAGCCTGGTTATTGAAGCATGCATTGAAAGTGCTCTCATTGACATGTATGCCAAATGCGGTAACCTAGTTGATGCAAAGAAGGTATTTGAAAGGGTATCTAATCCTGACACAGTCACATGGACTGCCATAATATCAGCTTATGCTCAACATGGTCTTGTTAAAGGTGCCCTTCAGTTCTTTAGGAAGATGGTGCAATGTGGTGCCAAGCCAAATGCTGTTACATTATTATGTGTTATTTTTGCTTGTAGTCATGGAGGAATGGTCGAGGAAGGTCTGAACTTTTTCCATCAAATGGAGGAGATCTATGGTGTGGTACCAGAAATGGAACACTATGCATGTGTTGTTGATCTCTTAGGTCGTGTTGGCCAGTTAAATGAGGCAATGGAGTTCATAGGAATGATGCCAATTAAGCCCAATGAGATGATTTGGCAGACATTGTTAGGAGCTTGTAGGGTCCATAGAAATGCGGAGCTTGGGGGGATTGCTGCTCAAAATATTCTGTCCACTAAGCCAGTGTATCCTGCTGCTTATGTTTTTCTGTCCAATACATATATGGAATCAGGTCTATATGAAGATGGGGTTAGCTTGAGACATGTAATGAAAGAACGGGGCGTGAAAAAGGAACCAGGTTATAGTTGGATTTTTGTGAGAGGCATGGTCCATAAGTTTCATGCTGGAGATGAACAGCATCCACGGAAGGATGAAATTTGCGCCATGTTAGACAAGTTGATGACGAATATCAAGTCCATCCATTTTGAAATGGATTTCAGTTTATTATCATAACATGCTAATCGAAATTAATGATTATGTTGTTAATGGGTAAGCGACTAGGAAAAGAGAAGGTGATGATGGAAGAGAATGACTTGGATGGTTGAAATTTAGCCAGATGTGGCCATTTGCTTATGTAAATTTGTTAATTTATTCAACCAACTTGTAAACCAAATCAATTTTGCCCAGTATGATGTAGTTAGAATTTTAGTATTTAAAAAAAGAATGCATTGGTTTTTATGAGTGCCATTTTGCACCTATTTGGCTTTATTTCTATAGGTTGCAGTGTAGTATGGAAATTTGATTCAACTTACGTGGTTAGATTGTTAAATTGTTAAATCAATATTTTGGCTAGTTTATTAAAATATTTTTTGTGTGACTAATTTGAACATGACTATGATTTTGATTATTAATATTTGAACTAGTTTTTTAATTGGTTCAATAACTATTCTAATTCTCTGGTGAATGTAAGCCTGCTGTATGAATGGAAGCATTTATGGCCAGGATTAATGTGTAGCAGTTGAAGGTAATTGTGCCAAGTAACGTGTCATGTCATGTAGAGTCGCATTCTAACGCTTTATTTGCCTGAAGCTTGCCAAGGGTTTTGCAGCTCTGATGTGCTAGTTGCATTTTAGTTTTTAGCTTTTTTTTTTTATTATAAATAGAATTTTGCTGTTCGTGATAATTACTCACTTGTCTTTGACAAATGAAATACTGTTTTTGACTCCTTTTCTATAGTTTCTATGCTTCATAATTTATATAAAAGAACCTTTTAATGATGTATGAGGGTAATGCAACATCAAGAGAAGATAAATTCAGGATTTCTTCAATTTTGTTCTCATTTTTTTATTTTTAAAAACTGTTCTATAAAATAACTTTTTAAAATTTGTTATGTTAATTTGAAAATAAGTTTAAAGTTAAAAAAAGTATTGATAGTGATGGCAGCCAATGACTAATGATAATAACTCAGATTTCAAGCACAAGTCATCCATTTCAAGATTGAATGGAAGAAAACATTAACATGATCTATTGAAATGTCTCCATTAGTCTTATTTAATGCAATATCTCTAATAATTATCCTCTTTCAAATTGTATTGTTACTTTCAATCACATATTTAAAGAAGCAGGCAGATGCATTAACATGCTTACTCATTAAGCCCCTCAAGGTAATTTAGATATTGTTATTTTTAATCATCCGCTTTTAGATTATAGATCCCTCATGAATTCTGACATGACTTGATTTCTGTTCTTCCCAGCATGATTTTCCCGTGCCCTTGCATAAAAAAAAACAAAAAGAAAAGAAAAGTAATGTCTTCATTAGCTTTACATCTAAACATTCCAATTACATCTACAAATAGTTTAGCTAGGAGAAGTCATGAACTAGTCAAAGAGTTTTGTATTTTTTTTTTAAATAAAAATCATCTTTCATTTAGAGGTACGTGGTTGATGGAAGATCTTTTTTAGGCTTTGTTTGCACTCTTATGCTTTAGTCTTTTATAAATGTATCATTTTCCATTAAAAAAAGTCATCTGTTGTTGTGTTAAAAAAATAAATAAATAAACAAAAGATTTGTTCTTTGTTAAACAAGCTTACCTTTTAGCAATGGATATAGCTTCTCCTACTAGAGTTCCCAGCCCGTAGCTAAGGGTGTGAGAATTTTGAAGTCGAGAGTTTAATAATTGTGATATATCATGCAATCATGTTCAGTATACAACTAAAATACTAAAATAATCACGATAAAAATTCAAACTTTAATTTATGACTATTTCATTTTACAAAATCTAACCCAATTGATATTCAAAATATTCATTTATATCTTCCATTAACCAAGCCAAAAAGTAAAAATGCTGCCTTCATTATCAAACATTAAAATTCTAATCTACTCAGGACAGTGACGTTCACTTGGCAATCTTCACGAAACCTGCAGGAGATTGGGAGGATTGCATGACGTTTTTTCATTTGAATAAACAAAATGCCTAACTTCTTCAGCGCTCCTGTTTGATCCTTTATTTTTTTTTTTTGGTCCTTGTAGTGTAGACTTGTAGAGTTTTTACGTATCATTTTACCCAAAAAAAGTGTGCAAAAATTTTGAAGAGTTTCTGATATTCACAAATCAACAATAATACATGGATACTCATTAATGTCATAAAAGAATCCAATTCATTAAATTCTAAATCCTAAAAACTTAATCAACATCATGCTATTTTAATAAGTAGTGAAAAGTTAGTCTATTTTATCAAACTAATCGATACCCATACACCATTATTAATTTAAAAATATCAAAAACTCCTAAAGATAAATTTTCTAGCTATTTTTGCATCTTCACCAACACTCTCAAATTTTATTTATAAGTAGAAAACCTTAATTTTCACTAATTTCATCTTAAAATTTTCCACCTCTATTTCCAACAAGGACGAGAAAAATCATTTTTAATAATTTTCCTATAATTTAATAAGGGCAGAAAGATAAGGATATGCATAGAAAATAATGAGGCACCTTATAAATAGGACTAACATTAGTCTTTTTACCACAAATAGAATTAAAGGAGTACATTTAGAGGATGAGGATGACTCCGCCTTGTGAAATTGAAAAATTGAGAAACGTGAGGCCAAACAGCTTCAAACATTTGATTGCAAATTCTTCAACTTTTCTCTCTTCAGCTGCACCTGTACAATTGCTAGCCTACCAGCCAACAAAAGAGATAAGAACATAATAGCATATCCGAGTCAGTTTTATTTAGTTGTTTATTTTTTGCCAACGAGTCAGTTTTATTAGCTCCTACTTTTTCATTTAAAACTCGTCAGCATAGATCAACTGATTGATTCCAATAATACAAGTAGCTTCGTTTCAAAGAGGGGAAAAACATGCATTTCATGGTGTGACCACCTGACCAATACAATGTCAATACAATCATAAACAAGCCCTAATGAGCGCAATTAAAAAAATAGGCTAAAATATAAAAAAAACTTTCCAAAATTTTGAAACAATTGCATATAATCCCTTAGTTTTAAAAGTTTAAAATTAACCTCTCTAATCTTTCATTTTTTTATTTTACCACAAATTGCATTACCATTATTTCTTAGTTATCTTACTAATAGAAGTTGCCATGTCTGATTAAGTAGCTGCTTATGTAATATCGTATACAAGCTTGCAATAAATTTATAAACATTTTATCCATATATGATTCCTCCTCAAGTTGTGTTAAAAATAATTAAAATATTTTTTTCCCGTGTCTGATGTCATGTATATTTAATTAATCTGACATGACAAATTCTGTTAATAAGATGACAGAGTTGAAGGCAAGGGGACTTTGAATAAAAAAAGGTCAAGGAAGTTAATTCTGAATGTTTAATGGTTGGGGGAATTCTATGCAATTGTATCAAAGTTCAAGGTGGTTTTGTATATTTTATGTGAAAAAAAAAGTAACAAACAAATGTAGTTTGGAACAACAAAACTGGGGACATGGGTTCAAATGAAACTTAAAAGGTAATTGTACTTTTTTTAATTCAAAGTAATGAACATTTCTGGTCTTAAAAAAAAAAAAAACGCTTTTCACAAAGCCCATTCCATTTCATTTTGCATACCATATGACTTGTATGTTTACAGTTGTTCATAAAGCATAAAAATCAGGAGTAGCAGACCAGCTCCATTTTCTTGTCAAGCCATTTGATAAAAGAATCAGGGGAAAAAGAAAGAATTGAAATAATCTCCCGAATCAAGAGCTATGTGCAAATATTCCCTACAATCCTAACCCAAAAAACACCCCTCAAAAACTGAGACTCGTACTATTCCTAATGAGGTGAGTTGGTGATGGAGCAAGATAATGAAACTGAGCAGCAAATTTGAGCAGGGATTTCAAAATGGCACCTAGACCCATATGGCAATTACACAGTTGCTAATGAGTACAAGTGATTGAAAGGATAGGGTGCCAGATTTATGCCAGTCCACGGTGCTATTTAAGAATGTCATGAATTGGATTAATGCTAAATCAGTGAGTAGAAGAAACAGTAGCTGGGAACAGGCACTTTTGAATTCGCTCAAGCAGAACAAGATGAAGAACACGTCCTGGATGCTTTTACTGCTGCAATGGCCTACCAGATATGGAAAGAGAGGAACTCCTATGCATTTAGAAATGTTCAATCTTCTCATTTGCAGATCTAGATGAATATTAAAGTTGAAATTTGTTTTATATCCTGCCACAAAATTAAGACCAATGATTTAGAATTTCTTAGAAATATTAATATTGTGTACGATCACTTTTCCCTTGGTTTTGTACATGACAAAACTAAAATTAAAATCCCATACATAATTCAAAGTCTCTTTGAATTACTTATAACAATATTTTTCTAAATTCTGAAGTTACAAACATGTTTCCAGGATTACAAGCAGTTCTTTAAAAATTAAATTTTCCGAAGGTTGACATAGCAGTGTCTAAAAACGTATAGTTTCAAAGTGCATCAGCCACTTAGATCCATTATGTCAACATAGCATTACTTGTTTCATATTCACACATGGAGCTTACAGACTATTTACCCCATATGAATCTGTTTATACTAACCACTAACAGCAATTGTATAAATCTCAGCAAGGCAACCAAAAAAATCAAAATCAAAGAGAATAATAAGGCATGCTTGATATGAAGATGATGTGACAACTACCAAAGCAGATAAATAAAAGACACCATCTAGCATCAATATATTACCTGAAATCAAAATATCATAATCCCAATTTTCTTGAAGTGAGTTTGTCCCCATGCAGAGTGACTTTCCAGCAATCAACATGGAAAACAAATACAGAAATCTTTTTTGGAACAACTGCAAGTAAACAGAAAGAAAGGGTAATGTTAGAAATGTATTTAATAAGCTAAATTGTATCATACTTTAATCCCACGTTCTTTGTTTTTCATGTTGCAAAGTTTTCGCTTGTTCCAAATATAGTAAACTATAATCCAATCTCTAACCCTTTTCAGTAATTTTCTCCCCTTTTTCTTCAGTCACTCTTCAATCCCCTTGGGGCTCAACATTGCAGAATATAATATTATACTTTCTCCGGTCCTATTTATAAGAGACCTTTTAAAAGTAATTTTTGGTCCAAAATATAGGACATTTTGTAATAATTAAACCACTTTTTCAATTTTACTCTTTCTTGATTAGCATGAAGGCATTTAATGTAGATGTATTATTACTTAAAGCCAAAAGTAAACATGATACCGATTAAAAAATAACCTTTCTTAATATGCGTGAAACGGTTGAAAGTGTCCTATAACAAGGATCAGAGGAAATATATCATAAGTAATATTTATTATGTTTGGGAATTCTTGGGGCTTTTCAACTAAAATCACAAAGGGTATCCAAAAAGAAATCGTCAAATAAAATATCTGAGTATTGATGTAGAAACATAGCACAATTTAAGATTTTCAATCTCCCAGAGATTGTGTTTAATCAGTAACTTTGTCTGTTATTCAGTATTTTGACAGCTGAAAACAATACAGTAGCAAGGTTTCCATCAGAAATGCTATGAAAAGCCTCTAATGGGAGATTTGTTCCCAATTGTGAAAGTTGTTTGGTTTGAGATGGAACCAACGTGTATATAGTGTAGTTGATTTACGAAGATAAACCATTAATATTCTAGAATTTGCCTTGAGATTGAAAGAATTCCAACAAAACGTAATAGAAGAGGAAAACAGCCCAAGAAAAGTTTAATGATAAAAACTAGCTGAAAATATTAATTAGCCAACACTACTCCTATGGCAAAATATAATCGAAATGTTGGCTTTTTTACAAGAGGCAGCAGTAAGAGTTGGACCTACATAGAAAAAAAGGTCTCAAAATGGTTGGGCCACCAAAAAAGAAGAAAGTAAAGGGGGGAAAAAAGGTTACTATGCCATTTGGAAACATCACCAAGGAGACCTAAAAACAACACTGCTAAAAGCTTGATCAAACAATGCTACAATATCAGGTTAAGAGCCTTGCCAAAAGTAGGTAAACACATTAGTAGTAGAGACACAGTTAGAGAAAGTGCCCATTTGGATTTCAATTGGGTATAATAGATTATGAAAATAATTGATTAAATGGTAGATTTTAATCATAATTGATTATATTATAACACAACCTGTTTGGATACTTATATTAGTAATTTTTTTAAAGATCCAAATTTTACTAAGAAAAACAAGAGAAAAAAGTTTTGTTTTAGTTTCATTAAATTTTGTGCCTTTTTTGTGATTTTTTCCTTGGACCTTTTATGTAATTTTTTCATATAACTTTGTAACAAAAACACGCAGAAGCCGAGAAGCTGAAAGTTGGAGCTTTGGGAAAAAATCAATTTTTTGGAAAAGTGTTGGTGTTTGGGTAAATTATGGATTAATCGACTTTTTTGCCCCTAAAATCGATTAATCCCTCGATCCAAACAGGCACAAAATCAGGAAAGCAAGATTGGGATGATGCAAAGTAGAAAGAATAGTTGGAGTAACATAGTCAGAGAAAAGTGCCACCATCATGCTGCATGATGAGAAGAGTTGCTGGAACAACATGCAGCCAAAGAAAAATGGATACAATTAGGCACAACAGAAAATAGACAAAGAACTACCAACACATGTGGCTAGAGGATTATTAGAAAAGTAATTAGGGCATTGCTAAGGAAAATGGTCAGACAAAACATAGCTTCATATGGGGGAAAAGGCCAGAGAATCTCAGAAAGTTGTTATATTATATGACCACTGGAGATGGTGGCTGTTATGTGCTGGAACAGAGAGTTGCAAGAAATAGGGGCTAAGTTAGCAAGGCCCCAACCAAGCAACATAACCATTGTTGGCTCTCTTTCATCTCTCCCTAAGTGTTATAATACGATGCAAAGAAGAAAACATAGAAAGCGAGAGCTTCAGAAAGCCTAGAAATGAAAGGCTTGTATCATATGCATATATATATATATATATATATTCATCACAGAGTGAAGGTTATATAACTTGACATACAACCAATGTGGAATTTATATAACTAAATAAGGAAAAAAAAATCAAACGACTTGTATTACACGCATTCATATAAGCATGCAATTGCAACAATTGAGTTCAAGAGGGAGCTTAAAATGATAGAAGGATTACCTTGAAATTTGTTATCTTCAGAAATTATCCCAAACGTTTCTGCTGTTTCACGAATCACAATGCCACAAACTCCAGTAAAAGAAATTACTTTACACCATAACTGCAAAAAGTGAAATTCAAAAGATAAAAATACAGCCATTGTGGATAAGGCTAAGATGACATTGCTCAATATTTATTGTAGGAATCTTGAATGCAAGTCTCTTTTTGGTAAACTAACAAGATTAAATAGTTGATCCACCAAGCAATAGCTTTAGCAACCGAGAGAGAGAGAGAGAGAGAGAGAGAGAGATGAAATTTTATGATTTAGATCACAAAATAACCTTAAAGGTGTAAAACACATTCAGCATCAGTTCTAACAACTATTTAAAAAAAAATTAGGGGGTACAAACTATGAAATTGCCTGCATGTTTAAGGCAATCTTGATTCCTGAGCAAGGTCAAGGCAAGGAGGGTTTAAATCAGAGATTCCCTCCTTAGAAAGGAAGGGCCAGCTCCTGGTCTGTAGCCTAAACAGCATAAAGATTTTCTTTGCCTTTAAACTTACACAGTAAACTTACACAATAGATCTTGATAAATCTTACTCATTCAGCAAAAGCAATTTTAACCTGTCTTCTGCTGCAAATAGATGACATATGCATCTACTAACACCTAAGTAGCTTCTGGCAGAATGAAAATTGTGTTCAATCAGGAACAACAAAACTTCGCATTAATATAGCAACATAATAAACTTAGAAAGATATTGAAATGGTTAAATGTCAGATAAGCAGGACCATGTATTGAAACATATTTTTCATTTCTAACGAACACACCCATGTATGTCTAATTAAAAGTAATAACCCAATGCAAAAAAAAAATAAGCATGACAAAATCAACTGTTCTCAAACCTAGAATGATGGCACCATGTAGATCTGCATCAACAAGACATTGAGCTAATTGATTCTTCCTGAAAAATTGACCACATTCATAAAATCATCAGAGAGAGCAAGTATAAATTTTAGGAATCATGCATATGAAATCAGTTAACGATGAAAATGGAAATAACTACCCAGCTGCAGTAAGAAGTTGCTGCATGTAACCTTTCCATAATTCATGCGTTGGCCTGAAAGTATCAAATCTGTAATTCAAGTCGACAATAATTAAAGAACAAGAATGTCATCATTACAAAATAGATTATAACAATGAGTTTTGGAAAAATGATTAGTCACACTTGACAAAAAACTAAGAGCAACAAAACAGAAAATAGTAAAGGAAAAGGCTTAGGTACTTATGCTTGTACACTTCATGCATTTTTGTGCAATCAACTCAAAACAGGTGGATCTTAAAGTGTCAATAATATTAATAACAAGCGTTTGTTATGGGATAAACAATTCATAAAAGATCCACATGTTTTGATTTAATTGGAAACTAGCACTTTAAGGCTGTAAACCTGAGTATACAAGTTTTTTCCAATAAAATCTCTTTGAAACACCATAGAGACAGTACCACTCCACAACTACAGCTCTAAGGAAATACTAAAAACTAAATGGGCTAAAGAATTGTCTAAATGTGCAGTTTAGAACACATAAACTTACTTGTGGAACTTTTGAGGAAGGTCCAATGTTCCATGCTTTTTATGTTGTTTCATAGACATGTTTTTCTTCGATCGTTTTGAATTTACTCGCAAAGCCCTGATGTGAGAACCACTAGATGCTCCACATCTTTGTACAAGATTATCAAGATGGATCCAGTTATCAATTTTCATGCTTCTTGAGCCTTGCAGGTACTTTGGAGCCGAATCTCCCTTCTGAAGAAGCTCATGTAATATACTATTTATTGAACTTTTTCTCCCAGCAGAAAACTGCATGATCTAAGTCAGAGTGAGAGGGGGAATTTTTTTTTTTTTTTGGGTTCATCTTTGAAATACAAATGCAAGAAAATTTAGAAATTTATAACTAGTAGTAGGAAAATATATGATCATTTTTCATGAGTAGGGATAATATATATCAACTTTGAAATATAAAGATATAGTGTCATGTGGGAATCAAGATAAGGGTAGTTAGAGAATTTGCCGAAAGGGGCATTAGGGTATTTGGCTAATATTTTCATTAAAAATAGGGAATCTGTGTATTGACTTGGCGGAAAATGAATCAAGAATTTCGCCATTAAGGTTTTGAGGCTTCTACCATGTCCATGTATCAAATGGTATCATATATTTGTCAAATACCCTAATTTCTCTTTTGTCTCAATTCCCTACCTGCCCTTATCCTAATTCCCTAATTACTCCCAATTCCCAAAGAACATAGAGAAACTTCAACATCCCTGCTTTAGTCAGAGCCCTTGAATTTCACACTAAAAGTGTTTTCAAAAGGGACTTATGACAGAAAAGATGAAAGTTAACTTCATGATGTTACATAGAGGAGGTTTGAATTTCCCCCTTTTTTGGCAGAATGAAAGTTTTGTTATGAATTGTCTTAGTCACTTTTCTTAACCTTGACACATGGGTTCCAAGAAAAAGGAATACCTCCTCATTAGTAGCCAGCAGATTTTCATGTACAGTCTGAGAGAGCTGCGCATAAGTTGTACCACCTTCTTCACTGTCTACAGAAAACCACAAGTTATTTGCTGTCCATGCAAGTCAAAAAATTTCAGATTACATATATAGATAATGTATATAGACATGTATGCGTATATATGTATATGTATATATAAATGCATGTGCATGTATGTGTGCACAGGCATACGTAATTACGCATGTATATTTAAATACATTCATATGCATATATGTACATAGATAGATAGATAGATAGATAGATATATGTATATGTATATGTATCAGTAGGTACAAATGTACGCATTTACACTTACATGCATAAATGCATACACATGTACACAAGCATGCACATGCATGTATGTATAATAGCATATATAAACACGTGTGTGTGTGTAAAGGTAGTATTGCATGGATTGTCCAATACCTTGCAAAGTAGCCTGGCCAGAGAAAGTGAAATTCCCTAAAAGACCAAGATTAGGAGAATAAGTCAAAAACCAAACCAGTCAAGATGCTTCCAAACTTCTCTTATGCAAATAATTAAATGAACAACAAATCCCAAACCTTTTGCCACCAAACAAGATGCACATGCATCACATGAAAAACAAAGTGAGGATAAAACTCTTCCCAACAAACTCAAACTATACGCAATGAAAACCCATTGGGTACTATGAAATTAATGGATTTTAATATCACAATGTTAAATTCATCATAAAGCCAATGAATAAATATCTGACATTCTATAATGGCATCTTTTGTCCAACAGGGCAAGTCATACATTACAGATCTCTTGGATACTTCAACTAATCCTATAAATACTTAAACAGTATATGGACTTTTCTTGACTTTGGATATAAAACAACATCACCCTCAATTTTTAAATGACAAATAAATGGATAGGCCAATTTAAAAAAAAAAAAGCAATTGATTATAGATCTAGGCACATAGCTTTGTTATAAGCAAAGAACATTTAACTTCTGTTTTAGGCATACAGCTAAAAATGACCAAAGAACATTAACTTCTGCATTTAAGCAAGGAATCAGCACACACTCAAGAGGAAAAGTCAAATTTTTCACTCAAAATTAATTAAGTGAGGCTGATATAAAAATTAAAAAGTGGGCACCAAGATTATATTCATAATGCTTTTTTTATTTTTATTTTTTAAAAGTGGAACAATGTAAAAGGAGGAAAACACAAGGACATAAAAATTGAAAGTTGAATTACCTTTCTTAGAAGATGTGACCAAAGGCGGCGTGCCTGGTGGACCACATAAAAGTGATGAGGAATCAGTGGAGGTAATACTTGCAGTATGTTGTTTCCCATATTCTTTTATACTCTTTTTATCTCTCTTTTGTTGTGTGAGAAGCTCAGCTTTGGCAACAGCTAATCTTCTCTCCAATGCCTCCAATGTCCGTTTCCTTGAATCTTGAGTGGCTGACTCTGCAGCCATGGACACCTTCTTGCTATATGAATAAGAATAAGACCAACATTAATATGCAATCAAAATACACTTGAAGCAGTCAAGGAGCAACATGTCATTAAACAAAAATGCATCAAGCATGAAAAATGTGGGATTGGACTATCAAACTCCAAACACAGTGAGAATGCGAAGTCATCTAGACATACACTATAACACAAAAGGAAGAAATCCCCAATAAACTCGTTCCAATTTTTGTACACATGATAAAAGAATTACCCATCAATAGAGAAAAGCACAAAGCAGGAGGCCATGAAATCCCATTAAGTAAATAGAAACAGAGGAAAAGTGATATGAACAAAAGAGCAAGGAGTTAAGAGGGTGGAGTCATGTAGCAGGCTGAAATTTCAACAGTCAAAGATTTATTGGCAAGGTTGTTGGGACAAAGTGATAATATTCATCTTCTAAAATTAACAAATCAATTGTTCAATATTTATAATTCATCTTCTAGGATTAATAAATGTGTTATGTTACTAACCAAGTAAAGGAATTTTCATCCATCAGTTTTTTTTTTTTCCATTTTTTACAATTAAAGAACTTGAGACTTGTGTGTCATTTTGCAAATTTGAGGGACCTATCTATCATTATCTTTTATCCAGGAACCTATATGTCATTATTCTCTTTCATATAAGACAAATTTGTGTGAGTGATTGAGACATGTCCTTAAATGTCTCAAAACAATAACGCAATTTCATGAGATGAAACATTACCATGAATATCAACATCAAAATCCACATGAGTTATCTCTTTTACCGTGGTAAATCCAATCTTTGTAGCCTTCTACTAATCCCTAGCTAATCAAATGATTAAACAACACTTCTTCCCTAACAATCATTTCAACATACACCACAAGGGCACAAAATTTCTTCTCCTTCAAAATTTCCTCTAAAGAATGAAACATTCAAAAAGTACTAAACACCAGTAGTATACTCTTCAAAATACTAGAGAAGGCTACAATCCAACATTTTTATTGTCATGCCCCGAAAAAAAAAAAGAGTGACTGGCATGAAGCATGAACCATATCACATATCCTTTAAGTCTTAAATCAAAAAAATTTCTATTCTCAAAGCGCAGTTATATTTACACTAAAATTATAATGTCCTTAATAGTTTTCATATTAACACAAGCTTCACTCTATTTGTAAAAATTTCGGCAAAATCTCCCCTATAAGTAGAGCCTTCGAAAAATTCTACAACACAATATTTAAACAAAATAAGATAACAATCAGGAGCTCAGCTCCTTCTAACCAGCGGACAGAGTATATAACAAAATTAAAGACTCTAACTATAGCATATGTGGAGCAAGTAACCGTACTTTTCAAAGATAAAATTCAGAAGTTTTTATTACATCAAAAAGGAGAGAATTTCAAACAAATTTCCTCTCAACACAGCGATACTTCCCTCAAATGTCAGCATGAGGTTTAGCATTGGCGAATGAATCTGAGAGCAAAATGTGAATAACATCCCAATTTAAATTTCAGTAAAGTAAAGGGAGGAAATATTTATAAAACAATTATGAATTCCACAATAATAACCATTATCGTAATGAAAACACGTTGCGCAATGTAAACAGTCTTATATAAATATGTAAACCAAATAGATACATAGTTGATTAAAGGTAATAAAGAAATTTTCAACTTATAATCTTTATTGTACACTTGAGTTATACAATTTCACCTTATAAAATCATATATGATCAAATAACAATTTATTTAAATAAAAAATAAAAACAATAAGTTTATAAAAATTCACATTTCAGCGGGACATTATCAAAACAATTAACAAGTATGGACACAAAATCTACAAGGGTAAATAACCAACAAACGTGGACATACAATCCACGAAGGTAAGTAACTAAGTGTGACTTAAAGACTACAAAATAATCTTGCATGGCTAGAAGCAACAAAACAAGTGCATCATAAGGCCTACCAAAATAAGCGTGAGTACAATACTTATGAATTACCATCCCTCTGTTCCACGTGCGTTAGTCGTCGCACAAGACTAGCACCTCCTAAGCCACCTTGCTAACTAGGTGTATCAAGGTGTGCCAAAAGCGAATGGTATTGCCGTAAGCAACCAATGTTCTAATTCAATCACACATTTTAAATCAAATATGCATGGGTCGATAAAATCAATATATTATCTTTTTTCAACATTTCTCATCATACCTAGCATAAATGAATTCATCTGTATGTATATCTCGTGCATGAATCATGATAGTTAATCGTTCCTTAAACATAAAATCAACATTTCCAATACAGCAGATACTTTCAGATATTTAATTAAAAGATAAATCCAACTATTTCTATAAAATATAACATAATAAAGTATAGTATAATGAAAACATTTCCATATATGACAATTGATAATAAAATTAAGATTATAAACCATAAAAATAAATTAATTAATTAGTACATAAATTAATAAATTGAAGTACTCTATCATTTGTTCTTGCGGAATAAAAATGGTTATGTAAATAAAAGAGAGAGCACATGAATATGCCAAACCAATATTTTTATCAAAATGAATTTGCCAACGAGTCATTGGGACGCTATTCAATAAATATTTTACTTCTAACTTGTCCTCTTGCAACAGTGATTGATCTGTAAATCCTAGTGTCCAAATAATTCCATTGTTACATATAATTTCCAATCAAAACACCATTTGAAAAAAAATCTAACTCTAATCTTAACTTCAGAGAATATATGATTATTTTCTAATATATGTTTAACTAACAACAATTCGAGACAGCAAGAGTATAAAGTTAGAGTATTAGAAATGAGAATGTTGAGATGGATATACGGATAAACACATAAAGACAAAATTTGAAATGAGCGAATACGGGAAAAAGCAAGCAGTGCACCTATTGAAGAAAAAATAGTATAAAATCATTTGAGGTGATTTGAACATGTATGAAGAAAACCACGGGAGGCACCTTGAGAAAAGTGGAACACATGACTTTAAATCTAGTCAAAAAGGGCAGACGAAGATTAAAGAGAACATGTTCGGAGGTTGTTGATCGAGATCTTTTAATTAACATTAATAATATTTTTAAAAGTTTCATAAATGACAGAGTACAATGACATTATATAATTTATGAAGCCGACCCCATCTAGTGGGATAAGGCTTGTTGTTGTTGTTTAACTAACAATATAATCATCACATATATCTTGCCACTATATTAAATCCCCCCTACTAGATATTTTAACTAATGCTATTAGAATTGGACCAGACATTGAACCAGTCAAGATGTGCATGGTTCAAATGTCAGGAACAATTTATAATTAAATTAATATATTTCAAATATTATACATAAAAAATTATAGGAAAAGTGATAAACTAAAAAAATCTTATTACTAATAAAGTAATAATCTCACCAACACAAATCCAAGTACACATTGATAGTGAGAAAATAGGAAACATCCACATTCAAACTTCAAAATCATCCATGGCCACGCACAACACAACACCACAGCCTAACATTTTCATACAATCCAATAGTCCAGATTCAACTGAAAAACTACACCATTCAATTGCCATACAGATCTTTTAAATTAAATTTCCCAAAATCAAGAGCAGGAGCTCTAACCTGTTAATGAAGATCGCAGACGAGATGCACAGGCTGGAAGTGGAAGAAATCAAGAAACTCGAATAGCACGACAACAATCGAACTCGCGAGCAGTCGAACTGGAAGAAATCAACAAGCTCAAACTGGAATCTGGAACAGAGGAATCCCTGGTCGAGCTCTAGCACGAAGATGCCGAACCGCCGAAGAGATTAATGAAGACGAGACAAGCAGTGGAGAGGTCGGGGGGAGGACTGAGACAGAGAGACAAGATGAATGCCTGATTAAGGAAGACGGTGAGAGGAACGCGAAGAAGATGAGTGAGCTCGGGTTCTGCCGTTGCCGTTCTCGTCTGCCGGAAGTCGCAAGACGGCAAGAGCAAGAGAGAGTGAGACTGCGAGCGCGAGAGGCTGAGAGGGGATCAGGCGATAGCATCAGTATTCAGGTTTGGGAAATTACTCAATTTTTATTTTTTTTATAGTTATTTATTTATTCTTTCGAAATATAATTCTTAAAAGGCATTAATATTTCATTTGTTATATTTTATATTTTTTGGTTTCAACCAACTAAAAGAAATCCTGACCGATTATTTAAGTTAAAATAAAGTCAATTTCTATTTAAAATTTTTTAATCTTTTCATTTTATTTATATTATTAAACTTTTATTTTTTGATAAAATTTATTATTATTATATTTAAAAATGTTCAGATAAAATATAATATTCATAAAGAAAAAGAAGTGAAAGGAAAAAATAAAAAAATCTAAAAAATTAAAATTACATTTTTTTTTTTTGCAATTAAAAGGCAAGATTAGCCTGAGAAAAATAACACTGAAATATAAACTAGTACAACTCTTAAACTATAGGCATTGTCGGGTTGGAAGGAAGGGAAGGAAAAATTTTAAAATTTCTCCTCCCCCTCCACCTAACCAAACAAGGGGAGGGACCCTCCCCCTCCTCTCTCCTCCTTTTTTCTTCTCTTAAATCAAATGAACTTTAAAAAAAAAAAGTGGCAAGTGTTGCCTGTTTTCTTAAAAAATATGAACACATCTCAGTGATACCACCTTCACCAACTCCATATCAAAATTGATGGCGTAAGCTACTTCACAAGCTAGATAATCAGCACACCGAATTGCTATTCTAGGTGAAAAAACAATCCTAGCTTCCCATTGGTCATAAAGAACCTCTCCTCTTCCCTAAATGGATGGTCAGGAGAGCTATCCCTTAGTAAGAGGTTGACCATATTGAGTGAATATGTGTGGAGTTGAATCTTGGATAGTCCTAGCATTTTGCTTAATTCCAATCTAGTTTTAACAGCTAAAAGCTCAGCTACAGTAGAACCTAGGCATCCCAAGTTTTTCTTAAAACCCATAATCCAAGCATTATTACAAAAATAGGCTTTTGTGATGTTTCAAATTTTAATTT